ACGGGGTTTCGTCATGTTAGCCAGGATGGTTTCAATCTCTTGACCTCGTGATCCACCAGCCTTGGCCTCCCAAAGTGCTGGGATTACAGGAATGAGCCCCTGCACCTAGCCTCTGCTGGCTTTTGAATCAATAAATCAAAGTTTGGCAGAGCGCTCCCCAGAATATGCATGGAAAACAGCAGCTCTCACAAAAACTTAAAAGCTCGAAGACAGCCATACTTGTTTTAAGATATGAACTTGAAGTTGCAAATGATGATGTGCTAGCCCTACAAATACTAGTTATTAGCCTTTCATAAACTTATTCCATTTTAATCTTATTCTCATTCTTTTTCTTTCTTCTTTAAAGGAGATAGGGCTCCCAAACTAGTGAGAGGCATAAAAAAAGAAAACAAAAGAAAATAATAAATAAATAAATAAATAAATAAATAATTCAGGGCCTTACTATGTTGCCTAGGCTGGAGAGCAGTGGCTAATCCTCTCACCTCAGCCTCCTGAGGATCTGAGACTACAGACACGTGTCACTATGCCCAGCTTTCTTTATCAGTCTAGAAATAAGATCCATACAGCCTCATGCTTTCATTGGAAGTCACTTCCCTCAATACAACATAAATGATCTGTCCTGAAAGCTCCAGCAGAGCAGGCCGAAATCACATCACTGCACACCCAATCTCTCTCAGTCCTCAGCATATGGAGAGAGACTCAATCAAACTGTGTTGAATGAACAAACAGAGGCTCAAAGACACCAATCATATTTATTTAAATAGTCTTTTCATCTTCACAGGCTGTCATCTATTTAAGTATTTCATGGTTTTTAGAGTCAGTAAAAATCAATGTAAAAAGATATAATTTAAAATCTCCAACCGTAAGAAATTCTAAAAAATGCTTTTAAGCAAATTACTAGGAATCTATTTTAGTTATTTGTAAAATATCTGTTATGTATACTTAAAAAAAGATCCACGTTTTGAAACAAGGATTCTATTCCATGTTAATGTGTATTTTCCATCACGAAGTAACATAAAAAGAATTTTATATACAACATTATCTGATTAAGTTAAATCATTTAAAGAATAAAAGTTTGTTCTTTAATGACTTTAGAGTAAGTATAATGAAACTGTGTTTAAATATTTTTAAAATAAAGTTAATATTAGTGTTAACTCTTTGAGAAGCAAATAACTCCACAGTGTTAATCATTAAACTTCTAGCTAATATAATTATCAAGTTAATATTTAAATTAGTGATAGATTGGATTCTTAGCAGTCACATATATTAAATTATATGTCTATAACAGCTGGGTGCGATAGCTCACGCCTGTAATCCCAACACTTTAGGAGGACTGCTTGAGGCCAGGAGTTTGAAACCAACCTGGACAACATAGTGAGACCCCACCTCTACAAACTACAATATAATACAATAATTATATTTTAAAAATCTTAAGAGATGTACATGATTAGAACTTTATTCATGTGAACAATGTTTTGTTCAAAGAGTTTTGCTTTTTCCGTTGGAAAAGCTTCTCCATTACCTGGTGTGCAGCTCTGGAAGATTTAGAAAACTGTTTCTCCAAGATACTCTTCAAATCTGCTGGTAAAGTCAATGGTGAACTACAACTAAAAGAAAAAAAAACATTTTTAAAAATCATTTTAAAATAAAACAGTTCTACTCATATAAAGAAAAAATAGAGCCAGGCACAGTAGCTCACACCTGTAACCCCAGCACTTTGGGAGGCCGAGGCGGGTGGATCACCTGAGGTTAGGTGTTCGAGACCAGCCT